TATAATCTGTGATGTCAAGTAGGAACTACTTCCTCTTAGAATCACGGAATATATCCAGGAAGTCTAGTCTGGCTGACCAGTTTTAAAACAGTCGAAAATTATATGAAATATCAAAAACCGTGAAAATTTTCTGAGATTTCCTATACTGTTGTAGAATTTTTTGTTCTCTAGACAGAATATTAGTCTACCGATAGAGATCTTATTCTGAAATTTTTAGATTCAGTTGCTGTTCTATTCAATAGATAGGAGAGTACCTAGTTTCATTGGCAAAAATAGTCTTGTTAGCCATATGCTGATATTTTAAAATTTCCGCTCAGTAACTTTCTCGATCAGAGCACAGAATTTCATCACTCGTGTGAATATCTAACGATGCAGAAATAACTTCGTATATCAAGCGTATACTTCTTGCCTTTTATGAAACAAATAATCAGTCTATACTTCTTTCTTAGTAAAATTTGCTTTTTTGACTAAAGATACGAGAATATAACATGGTTTTTGTTAAATATTGAGAATTAATTGAAATCAGCTATGATTCTTCATGTGTCGCACCAAAGGCACTCTACTGCTGCAACTTTTAATCAGTAAATGTTTTGATAATTTTTGAAAGTGTAAAGTGCAATGTAGCATCTACAGATTACAGTGACCCACTTTTCGCCATTTCATCATCTCAGTTTGTGTAGATCGCCAAGAGTATTTTAAAAACTTTGAATCTTATACCTCTGTTCTGAAACAATAATATTTACACCATTTTAGTAACCTGAAAGGGAATTTATACTTATCAATATCTTTATATATGTATCAGAAGCAGGTATATTGCCAAAAGTATATTTTACAAACACGAAAAAACTTTTCAAAATCGTATAACATAGATTTCAAATCTGTTAACTAAATCTTTTCAAGGTTTCTAAAATCGCTAACTCTTGATTCATCAGAAAAATATCTATGAAGTAATGCTGACGTGTCCTGTTACCAACTAATAAACTTTACGGTCAAATACATATCCTATGAAGAAAGGATAAAATTGAAGAATCAACAGGATCAGTGGATGATCTGCATAGTCTCAAAAAAATCTTTGATTCTATAGAACCGTCTATGGGATCACCGGAAATATTGTAGGATCATCAAAATTTTCAAACTGTCTCGCTACTTAGTTAGTTGTTGTAACTAAGTTAACAAGTTGAATTGGTTTTTTTAAATTAGCTCGAATAATTGCGATGAAGTTTATGAATCATTCTGTACGTTTTAACTTCTATAGATTATTTAATTCTTCGCTTTTTCACAACATATACAGATTAGATGCAAATTAGAATTATTCATATCAACTGTATTTGACAAAACTGAAAGTTATAAGATTTAATAATTTTGCGTAAAAGAATTGTAAAGTCGATGACCGAGCACTCAATATACTTTTACAAATTGAATCGTAAAGATCTGTTTGCCATTGATCAACATATTTTATTTTTTTTTAATGAATAATTTACATTTGCTAATTCCATCCGATTTTCTAGTCAAAAATGATCATTTTTTGCATGAAGATAGGATTTATTAGCGCTTGTCAGTTTTCAAGGAATTTCTTTTTTTTTTCTTTCTAAGAATGAAGATTTCTCCTGCAGCTGTAATAATTATATTGTGAATATGAATGTCTTATGACATTTTCTCTTTTAATATGTTTTTCAAGAAAATCTAATAATTATTTATCTTAAAGCAGAAAAGAATTTGTCATACCGCATACTCTTTTTTTTTTTCTTTTTTTTCCTTTTTTTTTTCTAAAGAATTAACATGGTTTAAGTATTACTAATAATATTTTAGTTTAGAAATCCAAGTCTACTGTCCTTGTTTTATTTTTTGTCTCCAGTTATAAAAAGAATTTTTGACTTAACATTTTATTTTCATAAGTATTTGAATTGCGCTGAGCTTCAAGAAAAAAAATTATAAAAATGGAAAAGAATCAAACAACACTACCACTATCAAAGAAGGTGTGGTGACGAGTGAAATTTATACATAGAAAATGGTTCTTCTTATTTTTGTTATGTCATAAAAATGAAACCTTCAAAGGCTGCATTCTTATGTCAATTTTTTATCTTCTCTTTTTTTTCTGACTTTCTTATTTGTTATACTTTACGTGCAGATAGATGTCTAGATAATGCGTCTCTTTAATAGATCTCCGATCTGTACCGCCATTGATTAGAAATGAACAGAGAAAGAAGAAAAGGAATAAGTGTAAAATACTATTGTAGCATCGACTATTCATCAACTGTTGTTTTCTCTGTTCAGAGAGAAAGAAAGAGAGAAAAAAGAAACATGTTTCTAAATGAGAGATCGTGATTTTATATGACGTATAAACCAGCCTATCTTTCGAGTTGCTGTAACGGAAGGAAAATGTAGTAATTCTTCTTTTTTTTTATGGTACTAAAATAAGGCATTTTTGGTATCTTGTTCAATACAGAATAAAAAAAAAGAAATAGTCCTAGATAACTAACTGCCCCTGCTTTCTAGTTTGACATATGCATTGAATCGCATAAAAGGCTATTAATATTGTACGAGCATCCGATTGTATATATTTAAGACGATTATTTCATTTCCTGTTTAGTGTACAATGTAAATAAATTTATTATCGGATTTAAATGGTACGTAGACAAAATGTATTCGACAGATTTTCCAGAAAATGGTTAAAATTTTAATAGGATTCTAAATGTAATCGAATGCCATAGCTCTGAACCTCGTAAAAAAAACCTATAAAAAGATTCATCTCTTACGAATGCATGTGCCGCTTCTTAAAAGGATAGACGAAGTACCTATCAAATTACTCTTAACGGATCCTTATAAAATGGGAAGGCTTTACTATCTTTCCGAAAAGATTGTTAAAATTATTTTTTACTTGATCATCTATATACACAGCTGGAATTATATCTTGCGAAAGATGGAGATTGAAAGATCAGTTTCGAATTACACGAACAGAGCTAAAGAATTCACAGTAGGATCATACGATGATAAAACGGAAATGAGAGATGTTCACATTTTTCTCTCTTCTAGAATGTCATCAGGATTGTTATTCTAGTAATAATTAAGTAAGTATGGCTTAGCTAAATCGGAGTATAGCTAGTTTGTCGGAATAAAAATATAAACCTAGAAAAAGCTCTCGTGCGTGAGAATTAACTGTAGTTGTATAGAAATTTTTCAAATGTGTAACGTGATAATATGGCCTAATTATTTATTAAATCCTTGTACGACATAAAAAGAGAGAGAGAGAGAGAGAGAGTACACTGACTTTATTTTTATCCTCATTAAAGACTATGTCGTTTGTCAACTACAGACAAAGATATTTGTCGTTCACATAAATGATGAGAGTCGTACATCTATCAAAATGTACAGAACACACTTCAGAACTGCTGAGTTTAATTCACTCTTCGCTAGTATTTTGACAAAGTTAGAATTCGTATAGGATATCTACATCTGCGTCGCAAGTCAATATAATACTGATCGATTTCACAAGGATATAACTAAACAGTAATTAATCATAAAAGAACTTGATCAACGAAAAGAGTAGGATGCAAAGTGGCATCTGTTCTTTAATATTAGAACCATCTTAAGGAGTATCTATTCGCCCTATCTATCTCTTAATAATATTTAAAAAACAAAGAGAATAAATAAAAACTCTATCATCAATCGTATTAGACATAAAATATGTCAAAAGTATTCTGTACTTCGAAATCATTTGTAGTATAATAGTTAAAAAAAGAGGAGAAGAAATATCCTCAAAAAAAACATTTTGTCAACTAGAATATGTGGATTCACAGCTGAAATATTGCGTTCTATGTATGTGTCATTTTCGAGTGCTTTCGGTACTTTAACTCTTTTCACACTTGTTCAAGAGAGGCATGCATTATAATCGATCATTTTTACGAAAAAAGACACATGGGAATAGTGATCGATATATCAATAGTTTTAACAAAAACATAAAAGAACAAAATTTGAAAATACGCCTGTATTATGGTAAATTATCTAAGTGAAATTTTGTCTAATATAGCAAGAATTAGCATTTGCACATATTTTGATATTATCTCTTCGACAGTTCACGACTTGTTAACTTATCAACTTTTTTCTCTTCCTTTGAGATGTTTATTTTTCTCTGTATTTCATCGACAGAAGAATAAAGTGCATTTAGGGTCGCGGAAAAATGCTTTTTTGTATTCACCATACTCTATAACTCGAAAGATTTTCTAGTTTTGATGAGATGTACTGCCAGAAGTTTAAGAAAAATTTTGAAACAAAATTTTCATGGGAAAATAATATTAGCTTCAAAATTTTTCTTAAACTTCTGGCAGTACATCTCATCAAAACTAGAAAATCTTTCGAGTTATAGAGTATGGTGAATACAAAAAAGCATTTTTCCGCGACTCTAAATGCACTTTATTTTTCTGTCGATGATATATGCTTTCTCATATTCCTTTGCACAATCGTAGTCTCAAATCCTCGTATTGGTAAATGTTTTTATCATTCTATTCTATTTAAAACACAATAACTCATTCTCACTTGTTGTGAAAAAGCTCATAACATCATTATTAATGTTTTTCTTGATTTTATGCAAAAAAACAAAAAAAAATGCAGAATTAATGTAGACATGTAAATGGATAAGACATCGTTTGAAAAAAAGATCAACAATATTAAACTATGTATTTAAAATCCTTGAAAATAATAGTTTAGTAACAATTCAAATTTTTTTATTGTAAAGAATAATATTTAATCCCCATCGGATAGTGTAGACCATGGTATACACATGAAAACACATTCATACATATTTGATGTTAATCAAGTGAATATAAAAGTCCTTTAAGGAATATAGAATTACAATATGTTGTTTATTTTAGTAGAGAAAGTAAATAGAGATTATGTCTTAGATGAAAAAAATACAAATGAAATTTTGGAAGTTCAAATTATTGATAAATAAGACTTATTTTATTCTGTTTTAGTACTTTCTATTAGAGTAAAAAAAATATATTATGGATGGTAGTTATCCAACAAGTCTTTTGGGACTAGCAAATATTATTGAATTGGTAAGAGAAAATGACTCTTGTTTATTTGACTCATAATTTTAACTATATTCTTCTATTTTAGCTTCTATTAGGTGGTGGTTTTATTTCTGTATGTATTGCATCAACCGGATGGGCACAACTCGTTGATTTAATATCAAAAAATTCTACAACACAGGTAGTTTTGTTTGATGTAACAATTTATTTTCTTTCACTTTTCTCTTCTTCTATCAGGTTCAATGAATTTATTTTCAGTCGGATCAAACTGTATTCTATGATGTAGATGCATATTCGGTTAAACAAGCAGATCAAGCAATTCTAATGATTATATTTGGTTTAACATTATTCACATTTTTGGCTCATATTCTACTCGGATTAAGAAATAAATTTTCTTGGCGAAGAATATCAGTGGGAGTAAGTAGAAAAAATGTGTCTATTAAAACGAATTTTATTTTATTTTTTTATATAAATTTAGCTTGGTCTACTATGTATTTTATATAGTCTATGTTTATTCGGGATATCAGTTGTCGTTGCTGTAAGTAATTTAGCTAAATACATTTTGAAAAAAATCTCAAATACAAAAAATTTCTAGTGTTGGGAAGATAAACTCAGACGAATAATGACCAGTACATATTTGGGAAATCAATTTTGGCCCACACCAAATGGAATTGTTAAACCTCAAACTGGAGCAGCAGCTGCAGCAGCCGTAAAAAAAAAAACCTTTGAAGCGTTCAACGTCTGCATTAACAAGTTTTCTCTTTCTTTTTAGACATTTGGTTTTGCTGCGTCTGTCCTATTTTTGGGTGAATCACTAATAAGATTTCGAAAACTTGGCGATAAATCGAATACTTAATGGTTATAAATTAAAATATTGGCATATCTCTACTTACAACAAACAATTCATGAACTGACAGATTTACTAGATAAGTTTTCTTTTCTATTATATTTATTATTAATTAAGCGTGTACACAGACTTTATAATTACCTTCTTCTTCTTCTTTTTCGTTGGTTTGGTATCTCTATTTTTGTTAACTTAAATCAGTTTTTACTTTCTTTCACTTTTAACAGATATATTCAACAAAAAAAAAAAAAAAATCATGAATTTCATTTAGTATGAAAAGAGATGTGCAAATCATATGTTGACTATAAAATAGAAATTTTTATAGTTTATTCATTGGCAAACTAGGAATATTTGTCGATGTAGAAGAAACATTTTTAATTAAATTTTGAATTGTTTTAAAATGTGAATGATTTTTATCGCGAATTAATTGAAATAAACAAATTTCTGATGTGGTTATAATTGCACCAGCCTGTCGCATTATTTCAAATGCATAATGTCGTTCAGTTTCGTTTCTTGATGATACACCATCTGAAATTACCATTACACAATATCCCGCACGTATAAGATCCAATGTTGTTTGTAATATACAGACATGTGATTCAATACCACAGAGTAAAATTATTTTAATATCTTCATTTTTTTTTAAATAATTATGAACATCGTCGACCATCATACTAAAACATGTTTTTTCTATTTTCAGTTTTGCATTGGTTATATCTAATTCATTGATTGTTGAACCAAGTCCTTTTGGATATTGTTCAGTTACAATTAAAGGAATATCGAGGACAGTTGCTACTGTTAGTAGACGTTTACAAATGTCAGTTATGCCGTTGAAATTTAATATTGATTGACGAAATTTTTCTTGCATATCGCAGAGAAATAGAGCACATTTGTATTTATTAAAATCGCACGAAAATGCGATACTATTACTCATTTTCTGGATCTAAAATTCGAGAAATAGATAATCAAATTATTATAAAATATGCATCGGTTAATTGATACTGTTTGCCGATTGTCCTTTTTAATCTTCTAATTTTGACAAAAGTGTTCAACGATAGAAATCATTTTCACTTCAAGTTTCATGCATTAACCGACACATTTTTTTTCTATGAAATTCTCATTTACAACGAGAGACAACATGCTAATATTGTAACACCACCTTTTAGCTCTTTCTAAGCATGTACAATCAAAAATAAATAAAAATAAAATAATCCTAATTATGAGGGTCTATGTTGAACCAATTTTTTTCACCTGAATATTCAGTCAGAAATAGAGCATCTGTCAATATCAACTTAAATAAGGACTGTATTTTTACGGGCTTGCCGCTTACATAGATCTCAGCAAAAAAAAAGATAGTTGAAAATTTGCTTGATTCTCTTACAAATTGCAGATAAAACCTATATTTGTCTGTTGAGCAATTCCAAACTGATGAAATATGACCAAGGTGACTTTGAAAAAAAAAGAGCTGATTTTGGGATTTTCCGATTTTCATCGATTTTCACCAAATGAAAAGTCACCGGAAATGACTGGAAGTTATTGAAAATCACAGAGAATTACAGAGAATCACTGAAAATCAATTGATTTTGGATGATTTTCGACTTATTTTGGGCTAATTTCGGTCTGCCGTTTCCCCTTCGAGTGTGACATATTCGTTTTATTTAGCAGAAATAGCGTTGTTTTGTTGAAGCGTTCAGTTGAAGTCGAATTTCCTAAAACTGTAGTCATCAACAGATAATCGATCATCAAATTACTTACTCTATTTTCGTAGATTGAGATATGTCAACAGCTAGACTTCACAAACAACGCAGTATTTTTGTTTTTTACATTAATTAAAACAATCGACTCTTGAGTTTGCTGTTGACATATCTTACCCATATCTGTTTGTTCACGAAAACCTCTGAAAAAATGAATCTTATGTTATATTACCTATTTTTGTGTATATTACTTCAATGAGAGACGAACAGACTCAAAGCTATTTAATTGGACTAATAGCGCCATTACTTAGTACTATCAATCTCCTCCGTTTCTGATTTTCTTTTGTCACTCTCGGCGGCATAACTATCAAAGGACAATTTCTCTATACACATTACAGACCACTGCAGCAGCTAGAATTATATTACTGATATGACAAATTTTTTCAATAAAACTTTTATATATCATGCTTCGGCTAAAGAAAACGGATTCTGGTTACAAGATCTCGCCGACCAGACTTCTAATAGAATCCATACAAAATATGAACCTTGCGGAACTTTTACGGTTTCAACTATTGTCGATAACAAAGAATTTCTTCCGCCATTTTCCGCAAAACTTCTGATAGAAAACGAGGTTTGCAGTCTGTCTTTCGAAGCGTAGACTTATTGAGCACTAGCAATAAGCTTAACTTTTTTCTTAATTAGACGTTCCAAAAGATTTTTGAGAAATCAGCTCATAACTGAATAAATTCAAACACAAATATGCTGTTTTTTGCATAAATATATAGTACGGAGTGCTCACTGAAAAAATGGTAATCAACCAAGCCCAAGTCCACTTTCTTGCTTCATTCACGTCACAATCGCATTTTTCTCTTACATTCGCGGTATGATACAGGGTTGCACCGCGATCCCATGCAAATCCTATCCACCGTTTTGTTTTGTTTACGACTAATATATAACGCTCACTGATTTTTCGAGAAATTTTCAAAATCTTATCACATCTTAAAAATAGCTTACGGTTAGGTAATTGTTGGTACTTCGGTACCGGTACTGTTTTCGCGCAGTACCGAAAATTTCTGTTCGGTATCCTGTTAAGTATAGAATCGCTCGGTACCAGGGAAGTACCGAAAAGTTCGATAATACCGATAATACAACGCTCGGTACCGGTACTTGCGTGGTACCGGTACCGACAATTACCTACTTGCGGTATAACTAATATGATCCCGCGTATGCCATTTGTCTGCATTCGCGGTAAAAGTAGCGTGGCTCATATACGCGAATAAACAGCAACTCTCAAATAGTAAAGTCTTATATAGCCCGAGAAATATATCAATCAATGCACAGTGCATTTTCTTGTTAGTGGATTTAGCTACTGTTATTTACCATCTGATGCCATCGTGAGAACATTTGCTGATGTTATTAGACTAAGTGTCGTCGATAGAATCGGTTACGCCCGACACGTGAGATAATTGTCACATACAGAAAATATTAACTGAAATCAACGATCAAAGATATGTGAGTATAATAATTCATTAATTGTCCCCCAAACAGAACATTTGGTTGTTTTAGAAGGCAAATCTTGCCTTCTGTTGGCTTTACAGTTAAATCAACCAAAATAATCGACTGCATTCAATCACTTAACACAAGTTCAAAACTTAGTGTTACCTAATATTAGACTCTTCGTTCAGCTATAAGATGTGTGAATGATTGTATCTTACCAAAACTGAATGATATACGTGTCAACTAGAAAAATGCATTCTGTGAAAAAAATTCTTGTCTCAGTGCAGCACCCCCCAAAGCGACCCCCCAAAGTGTGACTGGTCGCGACAGCCCTGCTCACAGTTGCCGTAGCAAACAAGACGTGATAAGCGTTCATCGGGTGGATGAATCCAAACAACCAGGAGGTTGTTGATTACTCCTGATCTCGATCGATGAAATATTCAACATCGTTCAACATAACTATAAATAGGATGTAACTGTTGTTATCGGCAGAAGAAATTTTTTTTTTTGAAACCAAGGTGGATGAAAACTTCGATCGACTACTCATAATAACGACTGAGGAAATAAAGTTTAGTTTTTCAGACAAAACACCCAGAACACACCATGAAAAAAACTTAACTTTCAAATTAAAGTATAAAAAAAGCCGTAGATAATCTAGTCAAACTTCAGTTTAGTTTGTATTATGTCTGCTGAAAGAATCATCAAGATCAAGGCTATCTGAATATGAGGAAACAAGTGTAAAACGATAAACAAAGAATAGAGGAAATATTGGGCAATAAAAGATTGAAGAAAAGAGGTGGCCAAAACAAAACATAATCTTTTTACTCGGCACTATTCCAGTTGAGTATGCAACTCTAATCTGTAGTCTTCCGTTGTAGGTGCCAACAGCGCTACCGTCAATATAAAAGCCCACAGCATTGCCGTATAAGCGTATGAATGGTTAGAACGATGGTTTGTTTCTATCTTAGTGAATGTAAATAATATATTAAACAACTAAAAAAATATAATTTCAAGGCTGGTTAACTTTTCGCTTTTAGTCTGTCATCGTTTATTACTGGTCCACTGATTGACGAATGGAATTTAGATTTATTTTGGTCCACAGAAAAAAAACAGTCCAACAGGTACAGGTATACAGTATTGACAGATAGCTTGTAACAGTTACAATGTAACTGTGATACAACAAAAGATAATGTAAATAAAGTTGTTAAAAAGGACGAGTTTTAGTTACCTAAGGGGTCCGAATAAAATTGCTAATATACAAACTCTTACACTCAGGAAAAGCTCTGAAATAAATCACTAACACTTGTGTATAACAGCATATTACTGTACTGTGAAATTTTTTCCACCCTCGACTCGTGCGTAGAGAAAACTGGCTGTTGGTTTGCTCAGGAGACGTAAGCAAGTCAGAAGTGTTGAAGACAGACATTACATAATGCGTAGAATATGGAATTGAATCTCTTATGTATTTATTTGTCAATTTTCTCCAAAAGTAAATACACTTGCCTTACGCATGTGAGTTCTACTTCATCTTTCGTTGCTGCTTTTCGTTCGATCTATTCTTCTCTTTTCTGTTAATATGTATGTTACACCATATAAACTTCAGTCTCAAATTTGGATCAATTACCTGTGTTGGAAATGAGTTGAGTTTATACATTTGAAGAAGAACCTCGATGCTTTAAGTTACATATAATTCCATATAATTACGCATCTCATCATCGGAAAACCAGAACTGTCGTTTTCTGGTTCAATTAGTTTATGAACTCGTGAAATTAAGTATCTTATTTTGAGTTCATTTCTTGCGTTGGAAAAACTCTATTGATTAAAACAGACTTTTTGCCAGGATTCACACGTAAATTAAGATTTCTAAACATACTCGTAGCCAGGAGGGTGCCCATTGTGTCCGAACACACCCCATAAGTAAAAATTGCTATTTACTGCTATGAAAACAATCACATGTGATTTCTTTTAGAAATCACTGACGAGATAAGGTTCGAGCTTTCATCTCTTTTCAAAAGACATTATTAGGAATGACAAGTAAAAAGGTGAAGAAAAAGCTAGTGTACATTATAGGGTATTTTTTCGTGCGCTTCATTGATGTTAACCGATGCGAAAATCCTTTTGCGTCCTGTTAATTTTCTGGACCGGTCGCTGTCGCACAGACCACTATATTGGAATCAGAACCGTTACAGCCCAAAAACAAAATGCAAGAAAATCGGTATATCGATTTATATCTGTAGTGCAAAATCCTGGCTACGGGCCTGTTTTTGAATCTCTTTTCCTTTTCTGGATCCCTTCTACCATTACTGGAAGATCTACAAGAACAGCTCGCTACAGTACGTAGAATAATTGGTCCACAAGGAAACGTTAGCATTAAAATTGTACTGAATATGCCAAACCAACTGTAATAGTTTTAAAATAGTATGCTTTTGTTTATTCGTGAACCGGATTATCGATTTTCCAAAAGCGCTTGATTTCAAACAGTCGTTTGATGTTCGAACAACACTTGATCAATTATTTGCGCGTTGTCACTGACGGATCCAGCCAGCGCTTGTACATTGGAGGAAAAATATGATTTTTGGCCAGTAGAACTGGCTCAAAAATTACCTTTTCTATGGCGACTACAGGTACTTCACATTTTTCTTATCTACCAGAAAAATTCTAAATCCGCCACTGAGCATCGTAGACTTAACCTTGCGCAACAGGTCGTCTTTTTCTGATATTTCGGAACAAATTTAACTAACAAAAAGTTTGACGCTCAAGCATGAGGATATCTGTGCTTGGAGATCTTTTTAGATAGCAATAAGTTTATGTTCATTGGTATACTCTAACATTTAGATTTAAAATGACGGATCAATTACATCAGCTTTGTGTCCCATACGGTACTGTTCTCACACCGTTAACGTCATTATCAAGTTCAACTGGATATAATATGTATGAAAACGCACATGATCTTCAACAACCAGATGTTAAACGATATGAAATCAATGATATGTTACAAAAAATTATGTCGATTGTAAATGAACGACTCGACGATGCACAGGAAAGGTTTGTGACATAGATTATGCATATAATTCATCAAACTGATTACCTCAGTTTCATAGATAAATTTTTAATCAATAGTAAATTGACTTGTTTAGAAAACATGCATTCAATTCGAATAGTATGCAACCCGCGTTTTTCCAAGTGTTGTGCGAAATTAAAGAAAAAATAGGTAAATAACAGACTTTAGATTTCATTTGTTTATTTATCTAATGATTTTCATTAGCGATCAATCTGCGTCATCTACCAGAAGATGAACCATCTGATCCTCAATTAATGCGTCTTGACAATATGTTAATGGCTGAAGGAGTGTCATCCAACTCGTCAACGGCAGTGAATGCTGTGAATGCTTCAACGAACGTCACTGGTGGAAATGGTAATAACCTGGATAGTGATTCAGCGCTAGAACATTCAGATTATCGCGCAAAATTGGCACAAATTCGACAAATATACCATGCCGAGCTGGAGAAATATGAACAACATTGCAATGATTTTTGTAGTCATGTAGTGGTAAGAACTGTGTAGTAAAAAAACATTTTTTACTTATGTTACGGTTTCTTTTGCTAAATTTTAGACGTTGTTACGTGAACAAAGTCAAGCTCGTCCGATTACAGCCCGTGAAATAGATCGTATGGTCGATATTATTCGCAAAAAATTTAGTTCAATACAATTACAATTAAAACAGTCGACATGTGAAGCTGTCATGATTCTACGTTCGAGATTTCTTGATGCAAGGTATAAATATACGTTTTTTTCCTTTATATACTGATATTCAACATATTTTGTTATTATTTTCAGAAGAAAACGTCGAAATTTTAGTAAAACAGCCACAGAAGTGTTGAATGAATATTTTTATTCACATTTAAGCAATCCTTATCCAAGTGAAGATGCGAAAGAAGAACTTGCTCGAAAATGTGCAATATCTGTTTCACAAGTAGGTGTTTGTTTAGTAGTATACCGATATTTTGTTCTTTCTACTTCACACTGATTATTATTTACAAAGTTTTAATCAACTTTTTTAAATTTTAGGTTAGCAAGTGAGTAATCCGTTTCTATGACGAGATTGTTTAGTTGATGTACCGCTATTATTTCATCTTTGTATTATTTTCTTTTTAAGTTGGTTTGGTAACAAACGAATTCGTTATAAGAAAAATATTGGCAAAACTCAGGAAGAAGCAAATATGTATGCAGCTAAAATTGCCTCTCAAGCTGCTCGACAAGGACATAGTGGTAGAGATAGTCCAGGTAAGGACTTATCAATCAATTTAAATAGTCTAGCTTTGAAATATTGTTTGAAATTATAGATTATTGATTCAAACAATATTTGACAATATAAATTCTTTTGCCTTGCTCAAACGAATACGATCATACTCATTGCAGTTTTAAGATTATTTTTATTTCATTTTCATGTTGTCGCTGAATGTACATAACCGATCAATAATATTCATTTTGCTTCGTTTCTGTACGTCTATTTTGATTTCTTTTTCTTTTTTCTCAGATACTTTTGTGGAACAGATTGATCTATATCTCGAATATTCATTTTTTTTTTAAATCTCGAGTAATAGTCAGTTGTTTGCAGACTATCATTTTAAACTTTTATCGAATATCAGAAATGGATTATACTGAGTTATTTTGATGTTGTTTCCTTTTAACCGTTATTAATCTCGTTTGATTTTTATATCTATACACACACCGGATGTTTCATGTTAAGTTGCTTTTGGATAAAAAATTCGAGTATCCACATGCGTCATGTACCAGTCCTAGACAAAACTCTACGCAGTTTCTGTCTATTTCCCACTAGGATCTAAATAACTTCATGACAGGATCTTAGATGTTAGGAAGCTCAAATTTTAGTATTTTTACTAAGTTTTCAACCCAATTCATCACATATTTTTCGATCAGTATTTCATATGGATAAACATAAAACTAAACAAAATGCTTGATTCAGGTTTTTAAAGTATTTTCTTTTATTCTAACGAACTTTATTTTTTCATTTTCTTTAGGATTCAATCTAAAAGAGTTTCAGATAAAATCTTAGTGTTTTCCAAAATTCTTCAATTAGAATACATGTATTTTCTAAAACTGTTAGTTTTTTTCACAATATTACATTAAAATTGAGCTGCTTGATTATCTAAAACACGTTTAATTACTAAATACATAATGTGTTCAAGATAGTTTGTTTTGTTAAATAGTTTTTCAAATAAAACTAATAAAAGTTTTCTGTTACTGAAAAATATGGGGTGATTCGCTTCAGAAATGGCAGAAATATTCAAATTTTTTATCCGTAAGTGATATATATATATATATATACAAAGCCTGTTTTTACTAATTCATCGATATGTATATTTTTGTGGCATTTATTGAAGCATTTCATTTGTTTTTCGACATGTTTTGTCAAGTTGTGTTTTATTATATTTTTTCTGACAATTATTGCTTCTTTCTTTTTTGTTGTTTTACAGAAAATATTAACTAAATATGGATAGTTTAAATATTTAGTACTTATCTAATCATTGTATTACTATTTGTTTTTTTTTTAATCTTTTTTCGTTTGTTGTTTAAGTAAAATATTTGCCGTACATCATTATCAATGTTTATATAGCTAATTGGATGGTGAGTAAATCAGTTTTGAGCAGTATTAAAAACGAGAGATGTCTGATTTTGTTTGTTTGAACAAGTAAAACGAATCTTAGTACTTGTAGTAGCGCATAAAACATATGAATGACTAAGAATTCTTAGTCTTAATCCAGTGTGAATGGTATATCAGAATTTTATATGCAGATGATAGATCCATAAATAGTAATGATTTAGTGTTCTCGAGATAGTATTTGATATGTTAAGTACCTAAAATGCCATAAATGTGGCAGCCTATTATAATGTATAGCGCGGTTCTACAAAGCTCTCCGCTGTATAACTTTTAATAACATCAGCTCCAGTGATATTTGCTCTACCCATCAATAATTATTTCAGTTTGTGTTGTTATTCACATCAAACTGGGAAACATTATTCCATCAATTCCTAACGTATCTCTCTGATAATTTTCCAACATTCATTTTCGATCATTTGCACGTGTCAATGCGAGCCAAACATTAAGCCCATTAAACTCTTCCATTTGTTCTTGTTAAAATCGTTGAGTATTGTTAGACAAATTTGATGCGCGTTATGAACAACACTCAATGGCTCAAGATTTCTTAATCTGTGGTCCTGATGGCGCTTATCATTAGAAACACTAGTTAATTTATTATTCATGAATATTATGTATATATATATATATATATATATTGGAGATTCGAAAATTATCTAGGGCTATTTATGCTGCAAAATGCAGCACTCATACGCAACAACGTATAAAAGGATGAGTCTTTGTCTATTCATTCTGTGAAGCCTACTATGTTGAGTAAAGTGTTCCAGAAGTGTTTTTTATGACTATAAACTAGAAATGAAACCATATTCTAACAGATGTCACAGTTGCTCAATTTCCAAATTATTCAAATTTCCAAAACAATCCCAGATTATGCTTTAAAATTGTAGTTGAATGTTAAACTGATGTCTCTCATCATCTATGATTCCGAAGTTACATGTGTCTCTTCATCGAGAATAAAGTGCACTAATGCGTGGGTTTAGTGCATTTGAATGCTAGACAAATGAGAATCTATAGATAAACTGCTCATTTTTACTTTATGTTACAGTTACATTATTTGTTTGTTCAATATCCAAAATGAATGTATGGATGAACTATCCTATCTTTAAAATTAAGGAATGCTACTACTAGTGCGCTTTTTTAGACTGTCTGGTAAATGAATATATGCTTCTTTTCATTCCAGTGCGTTCTTATTAATAAAACCGACATTCATTCTTTTCTGTTTGAAATATCAAGTCAAACATTGCTTTCTCGTTTGTTTGAATAGTGGTTCCTTTGTATTTATCTACGTATTTTTATTCTTCATGCGCGACAAGATGATAGATTTCGAGCTACACACTCATTTGATTATTGTTTCTTTTGTAGATCTTTTTAAATAATAGTTATTATGGCGGATTATTTAGCTTCAATCTTTGGCACTGAAAAGGATAAAGTTAACTGTTCATTCTTTTTTAAAATTGGAGCCTGTCGACATGGTGAGTGAAGAACAAAACCCAGAGTTTGCTTTAGAAACATCCATAAAGAATTAACTAGACAAAAACCAAGCAAGAAAATCGCCTGTTGTCTATTTTAGGGGAACATTGTTCAAAATTACACAATAAGCCAACGTTTAGTCAAACAATTTTGATGAAAAATTTATATTTAAGTTTAGAAAATAGCTCACAAAAAGCTGACAAATCCATGGGTGATAATTTAACAGAAGAAAAAGTTCAAGAACATTTTGATGACACATTCGAAGAATTATTTATTGAACTAGAAAAAAAATACGGTGAAATCGAAGAAATGAATATTTGCGATAATCTAAGTGAACATTTGGCTGGTATGACTTGTTTTTATTTTGTTACTGCTAAATAAACTAACGTCAAGACTTGTTTTTATTTACAGGTAATTGCTATGTGAAATTTCGCTTTGAAGAAGATGCGGAAAAAGCTGTTGGAGATTTAAATAATCGTTGGTTTGATGCACGAGCAATCTATGCCGAATTATCGCCAGTAACCGATTTTCATGAAGCATGCTGTCGACAATATCAAATGGGGTAACTAGACGGTCGTCTAAAATCTGCATCGTTACATTTTTTCGTATTTTTCTTCTTTAGTGATTGTCCACGAGGTGGTTTCTGTAATTTTATGCACTTAAAACCCGTAAGTACTTATTTTACAGGTGATTTCATATTATTCATTTGTTTTAAAATTCTATATAGATTTCAAAAGATTTACGAAAACGCCTATATCAACGTCGCCAGAAAAAGGCGGGTGGAGGTAAGTAAAGTTCCATTATTTAGGAACACTCATATCTTAGTCTATGTTTTTTTTATAGGTAACGCTTTAACACCACCCCATGAAAAAAACTCACGTTCAAGAAGTCGCGAGAGAGATAATCGTGATCGACGTCGTTAGAAATTGAAGAAGAAAAAAATAACTTTGTTTGGCGAAATGGAACTATTCATTAGCGATTTTTTTCGTTTAAAAAACATTGTACAGTTACGAACACAAAAATATTCTCTGTGGAAGTGGGAAGAAGGCAACTTTTTCGCACATCAAACGTATGTGTTCGTAGCCTGTGTCCATTATCTAATATATAATCAATCTTTGTTTTTCTCTTGTAGATTTTTCGTCGTTTGTTGTAGATTTTTCTTTCGTTTAGAATAAAATGAAAATAAGTCAGAAGTATAGACAATATTATCGTCGAAATCCTTGAGAAAGTAGAACATATTTATCGAGAAAAAAGAAATCTATTTCAGTGTTTACTTCTTTTAGAATGAAACAGAAATCAGTTGATTCAAACCACCTTTTGAATAGCGCGACTGGAGAGCTCAAACTAAAAACTAAATGGCAGTAGGATTTATAGAATTCTCTTCTGTAGCCAAATTACTGATGTGAAGTGTTATTTGAAATGAATTGTCTGACCAACATTCATTATAGTAGATTTATTTTTAGGTGTCTCGTTGTTTTTATTTAATCGTTTTGTTTTCTGCGTTCTCTAATGGACGTACACGGACAATATTATGATGTACAAGAACTATTTAAGACTGCTGGCTATCCATCAGACACACAGTATATTTATGGGCGATTTTGTCGATTGCGGATATTATAGTTTAGAAACATTAACACAATTATTAGCATTCAAAGCAAAATGGCCAAATCGTTTAACGTTATTACGAGAAAATCATGAAAGTAGGCAAGTGACACAAGTCTATGGTTTCTATGATGAATGTATGAAAAAATATAGAAATGGAAATTTATGGAGATTTTATTGCCGATTATTTGATTTGATGCCAATTGGAGCACTAATTAATAACACAGTATTGTGTGTACATGGTATGTTAATGTGAAGGATTCATTTTGCTTTAGTTTTACATAAATCTGTCCTCAAAGTCGTCTTTGTTTGTATACTTGAGATAATTATATAGTAAAAATATATATAGAAGAAATCTTAGTCACTTGTCCTTCTTATTAACGGTACATTCTCAGTTGTAGAGTGCACAGAGAAGAAAAAAATGAGACACATCTTAGTTGAAATCAAAATTTTAGTATTTTGTATTAAGGTGGCCTGTCTCCGGACATCGGTACAATCGATCAAATGAGAACAATTGAACGTGATCAAGAAATTCCTCACACAGGAGCATTCTGTGATTTAATGTGGTCAGAGTGAGTATCTGAATACTTTATTATTTACATTGTAGTTCGATTGTATTTTGTTTTTTTTCCTTTTTAGTCCCGATGATATTGAATAGTGGGCTATTTCTCCTCGTGGTGCTGGTTGGTTATTCGGTCAAAAACCAACAAATCAATTTATGTACAATAATCAATTAATATTGATATGTCGTGCACATCAATTAGTACAAGGTGTGTCAATCATTTTATAAATCTAAAAGTAATTGTTTCTAATTTAATTCTAATTCTAATTTAATACATTTTTAGGTATTAAATTTATGTTTAATGATCGTTTGGTTACAGTATGGTCAGCACCAAATTATTGCTATCATTGTGGAAATATAGCTGGTATATTGACATTTCACATTGCTACAAACTATGAAGTAAAATTGTTCTCGGCTGTATCTGGTAATAAAACGCAAATTCCTTCGAAAACGACTATACCTTATTTTTTATAAATTTCTATTTGTTATTTAAACTGTTTTATACTAAAATAAAACGTACATGGATAGAATTCGGTTTTTCTCTTGAGTATTTAAAGTTAAATTCAAGCGAGAATTGTGATACGAAAACTTCATAAAAATAACGTTTGTTTTAAGAAATGATTCTTATTACTTTTTACTTTTGTATATTTTTTTATTGTTAACAGTACATTCTTATGGACAAATGTTTTTTATATCATGTTATTCCTTATTGTCAAATATTTTTCTTGAATATTACCGTTGATGTTTTCTGGTCATTTATTGATTGCTTTATTTTTTAAATTTTATTAAAATATTGTTCGTTGTAGATAGAATCAGGATGAGAATTACCTCGTCGATGTTATTATTAGCTGCTGTGCTGATTTGTTAAAATTCATGCTTAAAATTATCCAAACGAATAAACATTTGCTCTGGAGTATTTAAGAGCTTGGTATTTTCTTCTCTCCACATTTTTCTAATCTCTAACATTAAGTCTCTCAAGTGTGATTATTGAACTGTCATTTATGGACTGTGATCATATAAGTCCTGAGATTTTGTTCAACTGTTGTGTGTGTTTCTAGAAATTTTCATTATTGATGGCATATTTTTTCGACATGTTTTTAGATTACCGTTATGTTTGATTTTTTATGCCTTTAAAAACAACGACATTTCCACTTATCACTTAAATCGAGTCATTTTAAATATAACAATTATGTTATCATTAATTTGTTAATATAAATTCACAATATTATTGATAATAAGTCATTTAATGTCTAACTAATATTTATTAATTGTGTCTGTTATTATATTTCATTTATTCGTGTTTTTTTTTTATACTTGTGTCATATCACTACTGTATCAAGTGTATATTATATTCGAACGAAATAATATCAGCAATATACACATTAGAGAGTTATTAATCTCTTTTTTCCTAAATGTCATTTTCTTATCGATTTACATTAAACACGTAGATAAAATCCGTTTTCAGACGAGAATTTGTTGATGTTGACATTATTCTCAGATTATTATTTATTGTGATGAACAAAAAGTAGACGAAAGAAAATGGATCCAAAAGAAGATGAACAAAGTAAATTATTCTTTAGTACTTACAATAAGCATCAAAATTTAAATTTTAGTCAATCTGCGAACGGTTTAGTCTCGATTCGTCCCTAATTACTTACTCTCACTTGATATCATCTCTGATGTGGTTTAATCTTATAAAGCCAATTAGAGACTAATCGGATCACACCTTGCAGACTGGGATATATGAACGTGACGTTCATTTCCATAATTTATTTTGATAAAAAATAAGGTAGCTTTTAAGATTATGTTCATCACTCTTTTTTCAATTTTCTTCGGGATATTATGATTATTGAACGACGATGGTAGTCATCAAATGATAGTACAGGTTTTTGTTCACATTACTTTCCAATCTAAAGAATGAACCAAATTAGTTCCTCTGAAGATAAGTAGGAAAATCTCTTCAAAAACATAATAATTAATTTGAAATAATGGTTATCCTTTTTTTAATAAGTATTTGTTTTCTTAGACGATTAGAACTAAACTGAGAGTTTTAATTTTATTAAATAATATAGTTTTCAAGTTTAAGTATCTCTCTATGTTAGAGACTTGCACGAACGCTTTCTTCCAGTTTAATTGAACTCTCAATTTTTGCACCGTGTTTAATAACGTCTATGGATATATCCAGCTCATTGCACATTTCTGCGTCTCTTATTTATCTACCACTGTTTGCTTTTGTACTTTTAAGGGTTTGTAAGACTATAAGGATGTGTAAAATGATATCTCAATACTTACATTTTAAATCTGATTGTTTTCTTTTATATTTTCAATTAATTTAATGTTATTCAAAGTACTAAAAGATAGTTTTAACCAAGTGTATATGAGAAAAGAACTGTGAATCAAAAAATGAAATTGATATTTACTTCTACGTCACTCATGCCAGTTACAGCTCTAATAATTTCTAATTTTTTTCAGAATATTATCATACGTAGACATATTCAGAAATTGATTCATTTTTGTTTGTACAAAGCTCGTAATACGTATTTTTTATCTATAATATATTTTAATACATATTTATGTATTTCAGGTCTAGAAGAACGATTACGTGCTCAAAACAAAAATCGTTCGAAAAAAAATAACACATTTAAAGATGATAAGATATGTACTCATACAGATGCAAATGGTATATTGTACAAAATAGGTGGTAAGTATCATAATAAATTAGATCGTGATCTATACAGTTAATTGCTTTTAATTTTCATTAAGATCATGTTTATCTTGAAACAAATAAACAAAATCAACCGTATGCAATTGGTTGTATTCTTGATTTTCGTGTTGTAAGTTGTATACTGTTTGAATTTCAATTTTTCAATCTAAAATCTATATCTGATTTATTTGTTTTGTAGACAAGAAAAGATAATGTTATGCTTGAAGTAAAATGGTATTTTCGACCAAATGAATTGCCTGATACAGTTTATGCTTTATTAATGCAAGATCGTAACAATGAATTTAGTATGTAGAGAAAAAACAAATCTAGTTGTTTATTTAATGTTAGTCAGTTAAAACTACAAATTACATAGTCTTCAATCGTTATTCATTTTCTGATCTGTAAAAATCACTTCAACAACACACAACATAAAATGTCACTTTTTGTTTCTTACTCTCTTATTCTTGGTGATGATGATAAGTGCGATTTACTTTCTCTAGTTTTCTTTTCCTGTTCTATTCGTTCGTTCTTCCAATTCAATATGACCGATCATTCTCACATAATAATGATAAACTTCTGCACATACACACACACACACACACACACATACCCTCTTGAGGAGAAGAAAGAAAGAAAAAAAACCTAACACATGTCAACAGTAATGTTCTTTCGAATTTAACGCACGACATGATAAATTGTTAAGTTGTTCAACCCGTCTATACTAATTAGAAACAAAAAAAAAGGTAACCATAAATTACGCACGTAGATAGATTTCTACCAAAAAGGATAAATATGTGTCAATTTTAGTTATAAGGGCACTAGTAATTTCTGTATGAACAAAGATTTATAGTTCGTTGAAACCGTTACTTTGACCGAAATTCCGTAAAATTATGGAGATCTAAATGTCTTCAGTCAGTTTTTGATTAATCATAAAGAGAAAAAGTCACATAAATTATATTCATTACGTATTCAACAAAAAAAGGAAACTCCGGTGTGTCAGCTTTTTTCTTCACACTCATCATTTAAAAGAGTGTGAAGTTTGTTATTGATTTTTTTTTCACTGATATGTATGAAATTTTTATATTGAAATATATTTTTAGTTGAAGCTAAAATCAGTGAATTGTTGTTTATCATTTATCTATTAAAACTTCCGACATGCTATTTGTATCAATTTGGACGTATTTGCACATATTGTTACATTAAACATACAGATATTCAATCTTTCAGTGTGTATTAATTGTAATCAAATATCAATTGTTCATTAGATGAGAGAGAGAGAGAGAGGGAGAGAGAGAGAGAGAGAGAGAGAGTGTGTGTGTATGTGTATTCTAGCAATAGCAGCAGCACATTATTGTTGCATGAGATTGCCAACTGATCATGATTATCGACTCACCATGAACCTAACACTGAAGATTACTTTCTATATATAAAGACATACAAAACGGGAGAAAGAGAAAAAATGCAAAAACATACACATTGAATTCATTTATCGCAATTTAGAGAACGATGAACGATTTTCGTATATCTATCTGCGAATCATTTTAACGCGTACACGAACATTGTACAATCATGTCGCACATATAAACTTTTTCATGTATTCCTACATTATTCATTCTTGTTTAGTGGTGTATATATGTTCATCATATCATCACCGAAAATATTTCTCTCTCTTCCATCATTCCTCTATTTTTATATATACGCGAGCTTATTTATCAAAAAAAAAAGAGGAAAAGATAGTCACATTCTCATTTCGTTTTTTAGTACATATTTAAAAGAATATAGTATGTCAAACTATGAATTGTCGTTCATCTTTAAAGTAAGTAACTAAAAATTTTTTCAGCAAAAACTAATAAGAATTGCAGCTATTGTACACGTTTGATGGCTTCTTTAACACAACAATTTTTATATAACAATTCATCGAAAAATAAAAAAATACAAGATTTTTAAGATATCAAATATTAGTTATATAGTAAGAAGGGAATATGATAAAATACTTTTTTCAAGAGTTCTTTTTTTTTTTTTGTTTTTTTACTTAAATCGAAAAAAAACTTCACATCACACCGTCTCTCTGCGTGACATATTAAACATATAAGAGTTAATCACATACGTTACTTTTCACCAAGCACTTCTCATGCATCATTTTACTCGGCATTTCATTGTTCAAAGAATTGCTCACAGTAGAAGTGAAAAAAAAAAAAGTCTAATTCTATTCTATCATTAGTAGTAGTTAATAATTTTTTTATTCTTAATTATAAATCGATGATCGTTTATGTATATTTAATCTATTATATGATTTTTTGAAATATATATATTATTTTGATTAGACGTCTAACAATAGATGACAGTCTCACAAAATAATTATCATAGCTCTTAAACTGTATACATAGGAAAACATTTACTGTTATTTGGTCTTTTCTTTTTCTCTATCTGCTGACTGTCTAACAAACACGACAAGAAACTAAAGAAAAGAAAAAGACGTGCTAGAGAGAGAGAGAGTGATGAAAAATAATTTCATATATATATATATATCTATAGTGAACAATAGTGATAGTACAAATAGACATTGTATAAACATATCAAATAAATTGACTATAAGTTTTGTTTACAATATACAATAAAAGATAGCAAGATAAAAAAAAGTCAATCGTTTTTTGAATAAGAGAATATTATTCATTCAACTAGCACCAAATGTTCATCATAACTTGATTAAAGCAAAGAAAAAAAAAGGTCTAATTCTATTCTATCATTAGTAGTAGGTAATAATTTTTTATTCTTAATTATAAATCGATGATCGTATATGTATATTTAATCTATTATATGATTTTTTGAAATATATATACTCGTGTTGTGTGATAAATGTATCTCTATTATATGAACTGTAATAAGTTGAGGAGGTACATGTTTATTATTTTGAAAAACTTGTGATCAATTAGTTAAGGATCAAAGATTTTTAGCAAAGATAAGATTTTGTTAATCAATTTGCTTATAAAATAAAAATTTAAGTAACTTCATGGAAATTTAGTTATATGAACAAGCATCAACCATCTAATATTTTACCTTACAATCGATCAATATAATCTTCTATATATATTTATTGTTATTATTATTATTTCTCATTAATTTACATGTTCATTGTCTAAACTGCATACTACTTTTTTTCTTTTCTTTTCTTTTCTTCTTCTTGTTCTTTCATTTAACCGTTTTTACCCTTAGAGACAAAATAATAGATCAACGACAAGTGTTGTTTTGAAAAAAAGTGAAACATACACACACACAGAAAGTTTCTTTTCAACTTCCTATTTTTATCAAATATCTTTCGATCGGATTTTTGTTGTTGTTTTTTCTCTTATTTTTGACACTATTATCATGAAATAATTATTTAACTGAATAATTTTTGATGATTTAAAATTTATTTCAATCAACTAGTAATCAGTTAATATCTAAATAGAGTTGAGATCTATCTATAGACTAAATTTTTTCTCTATATTCTTATGAGAATGAACATGTTGATCATATTACAATGAGTGTATGTTTCCCATTTATTTTTATTTTTTTTGTACATATATATTATCTCATCTAATATATTTACATTATTTTCGCACTCCTGTTTTTTTATTGTCGACACTCGGCTAATTGTGTAATATATGTATAGATATATAGATATTTTTATCAAAAAGTATGCCACCATCAGCAGTTTTGATATGAATGACATACTATCACAAAATGAAGAAAAAAAAAATAAATGGAGTGCGGGGCTATTTTTATACGCTTTATGAATGAGATAGAAAATAATATCATTCTACAATGATCTAATTTTTATTTTTTTTCTCATACAGTTATGATATATTATAATTATAGTTTGTCAATACGACTAATTTTTGTATTCTTATTTGATTGTTCGTAAATAGTTTTTTTTTTTTTGTTCGTGTTATTATTCTATAATGTGTCAACTATGGACAAAGTTATATATGTATATATATATATATTTGTTTTTTATGTGTCATTAGAAAACGTATCAAAAAAAGTTAAATGTTGTTTATTTGTTTGTTTGTTTCTTTCTTTCTTTCTCTCTTTTTTTTAATGTTCTTTTCTTGGCTACAGACTATACATACACACACACACACTCCTTCTTTGTGTATGTTGAATGTACCTCGAGTAATTTTCTTCTTCTTTTTTTTTAAACTGCAGCTGTTCTTTTTTTTTTCTTCTTTTTCTCTTCTATGTCATTCTGCTTTTTGTTTCACTTTATAGAACTGTCGATTTAGACTATCCACATGATTATCGATGTCACCCGACAAAAAAAAAAAAAAAAAAAAGAAAGAAAGAAAAAGAATTGTAATTCATTATTAATTTTTCGAGAAAAACAAAAGAAATTAACACTACATATATACAGGTAAATATGTATATTGTTTGCTTATGATTGATATTATCTCCTTGTATATATTGTCTATATTACATCATCGTGTCCTTAACATATAAGGTTTCTATTTCTATTAGAATTCATATATAATCAAATTACATAGAAGAAGAAAAAAAAAAATAGAGAAGAAAACAGATCCAACAGTAATATTTGTGATATTGATTATATGATAGATAGTTAGGAACCGTCTTCTTTATTTAGATATTCTAAATCTTATGACGAGAGATAATAATTTTCGATTGACATCATCTTTACTTAACATCAATCTTTATCATTTTATCTGATGTAGGAAATTATTTAGAATTACTTACTTACTTATTAGTAAAATATACTTCACCTAGTAATGAACTCAAATATTAAAAGAAAGTATTTCTATCCTTCTTAGATTGATAAACTGTGTGTTTTCTTTTTAAAGAGAGTATCATAAACTAATTTGAATTGTGATTAAAATATCGGATGTGTACAAAAACAAAAAGATGATCTATCGTATATTTTATTTCCATTATTCGAGTATATAACTGTTCAAGATTTTATAAAACATGTTTTATTTGCGTATGTCAGATTTTCTCTTCTCGATTTTTTTTTTTTTTTTGTGTCGACATTATAGAAAAGAAGAAGTTTTTTTTTTCTCTTCTTAAGAAGACTAAAATATTTGAGTCTAAAACAAAATGCTCACAATATACATTTGAGTTTATCGTAGAGGCAAAACAAAACCTTAAAAGTGAATATAAGAGTTCTTTAGAAAAACGAGTTAAAAAAAGGTAATTTCTCTTTTTTTCTATTAATTTTATTTAACAATCTAAAGAAAAAAGAAACTCAATCACAAAATTCCTCTAATTTCTTTTCTCATTTTTATGTTTAACATGTTTTTTTCATCTATGTGAATAATAATT